TATTTTCGATAAAGGAAATGATTTAATAACAAACGCGAGAAAATCGGAAGTATCGATAGTCACGAAAAACAGAAGCCAAAGGAAAAGAGGAATAGAAAATTAGGGCGATGAAGTAAAACTAGAGAAAAAAGTAGAAGACTTTAGTATTTAGAATATATTCTGCAAAAAAAGAAAAAAAAAATACAGAGACTCAAAAAAAAGCATTTGAGTGAGATGACAAAGAGGGCAGTGATAGCCATGAAATAGACATGGGGAATAGGGGGAAGAGGTTTAAAAATAGCCTGGGAAAAAAATGATGATTTTCGGCAATTGATGAAAAGCATCACGTAGCAGAAATATGGAAATGGGAAGAATCGGAAGAGTTAGAAAAATTATAGACGAAAAATATAAAGAGGGTTTTAAGAAAAGATTTTAACACGTCCTCGCGGACGTAGTGATGGAAGAAAATAATGTGGACAAGTTAAGAATCGCAGGGGGCAGAAAAGACGTAAGGTACGAAGAAAAATCAAAGTCAAACGATACAAATAATATAATCCCCAAATGCAGGAAAGAGAAAAGGTGAAAATGGTACGAGGAAAGAGAACGATATTATGAAGAAGGGGTCATAAACATGAGAGAATTGTGGACATCGGATGGAGAAGAACCTGGCAGAAACCCTAGTACAGGTGGACAGGGCAGAGCAAAGACATACACAATATAACAGAATAATAAAAGAAACGAAGAGGACAAGGGATTAAGGGAGGAAAGCAGAGCGCAGTGTCGAAAGGGGAATGTAGAGGAAAGGATCAAGTGGTGACAGCGAGATTCAGATGCGATAATATAGAAAGAATCAATGACTTTTGGATAAAATCAGAGGAGAAAAACCTGTGTGGTACTAGATTATTACTAGATTGTTGGGACGAACGGAAGAAACAGTATAACATCTTATAGAAGAATGCAGGAAAAAGGATGGCCATGCGTGTAAAAGAGCAAGGAAAGAAATGTGACGAGCATTTTGAATATTTTAACATATTTAACATATCGTATGAAAATTACAATGATTGAGTAAGAAAATTATAATAATGTATATGTATCCCGATTTTGAAGACACAAGTAGGTTACATATCGAGATTCTGCGTAACTTTGCATGAGCTTCAACGGAATTTTTTGTTTCTTATAGAATTTCCTTGTCCACGAATAGCGCGTGACGCCGGGCACGGATGCACGTTTCGCGGAGTCGAGCGATTTCCCCGGAACACCAGTACACCGCACCGGCGAAACG